TTTTTTTTTTTTTTGTACTGGGGATTGAACTTGGGACCTTACACTTGCAAAGCAGGTGGTGGAACCACTGAGCTAAATCCCTGGCCCAATAAACCTTTGCTTATTGCACAACATTGATTTCTTTTAGATGATTACTTTGGCATATAGTCTATAAGTAATGGTAACTTAACAGCATTGGAAAATGTTAGGCAGTCGGGACCTTGGAGAGTAGTTGTCCTGTGTAGTCAGCCCACCAATGGGAATTTTTATCTTTGGTGGGGTGGGGAATGATAGAGCAAAGAAGTGGTCCTTTATGAAAGCTGACAGGAATGTAATTATGCTTCCTTGAATCTGAGATGTTCTTATGAAATCTTCATCTTTTACCTAATGGTGCTTACTTCTGCTCAGCTCTTTGTAAAGAATATTTTTGCCCCCTTTCTAACTACACGTCTGACTGCTCATTTTTCAAAGTGTTGATCAAGGGCCCTTTCTTCTTTTTAATAAATGTGGTGTATCCACTCCAAAGCATGCCTTCTATAATTAATAACAATGAAATCTGGTTACCTGTGGAGACTGCAGACACTGACAAAGACCCAGGCAAGGTGCAAGGTGGTACCTGCAGGCTCAGCGTGGTGCTCTCTGCCTGCTTCTCTGCTTGCTCAGCCCACACCTGCTTCCCAGATATGCTGCTTGCTTTGAGGGGTCTCTTTGCCCCAGGGCTCCTCTTGATGCTTTACACAAATAGAAGAAAATATTGAGTTGCAGTAAGTTGATGTCCTTCCTTTAGAAGAGACAGGCATTTTGTTTAGGTGTCCTATTTTAAACCTGAACTGACTTTCTGATGACGTAGTCTGTTGTGATTGTTGTTCTGATTGTTGGTGTAGTATGTTAACAAAAGCCTCTCCCCGAAGGTGCTGTGTCCAGAGGCAAATTCAGAAAGGTTCTTTTATCTTTCCAGGTATGAACCAATAAGTGTTCATCTTAGAACCCAGCTCATGACAGCTGTCCAGTAAACAGAACAGAACACCAGATGAATTTTATTATCTGTGCCTAGAGGAGGAATCCTGGAGCCTTCAGTACGATGTGTGGTGGGGAAACTTGTTTGGTAAATGACACCATGCATGTGAATGTGACACATTAAGGTAGCTTCCTTTGATGTCTCAAGCTCTGCTTCTTAAACGTGAATATGAACTGTGCATAAATATGAATTGTGCATTATCACCTGATATAATGGGACTCTGATAATTAATTCATGCTCGTGTGGACAGACTCTCTCGAAGGATACCCGAGAAACTGGTAACAGTAGTTAGCGGCAGCGAAGTAAATTGCTAAACTGCTGGTTGAGATGTGAAGCAGCCCACATTTCATTGTATAACCATGTTGTATTACTGGGATATTTTTCCATGTGACAGTAGTATATAAAAATAATTAAAATCTAGTCATATAAAAGGAAGATAGTAATGATAGTGTCTATGCCATAGTGCTATGGTTTAGATACGGCTTGACTGTGTCCCCCAAAAGTTCTATGCCCTGGAAGTTTGGTCCCCAGTGCAGTGGTGTTGGGAGGTGGGCCTAGTGGGAGGTGATCAGGCCATGAGGTCACTACCCTCTGAATGGATTAATGCTGGTCTCACCAAGCAGGTCAGGTCTAGTGGGAGCAAATCCTCACAAAATGGTGCAAGACCACTCCATGTGCTTGGCTCCTTCTAAATGTGGTCGGTTCCCTCTCAGATTGTCGCATTGTGACACAGGCTGATGGCCCTCACTAGGATGCCAGTGACATGCCAATGGACCCATCAGCCCCCAGAACCATGAGCCTCTCTTCTCTGTCAGTTATTCTGCATCAGGCACTCTGTAATAGACATACTAAACAGACTAAGAAATAGATATCAATATCCTTTCTTTCTTTCCCCTCTTCTTTGGCCCTTCTTTTTCTCCTTATGTGGATGACAATGCTACAAAATGTTTACCAGAAACCTTGAACTATAAGGAAAACTCAGGAAGGGTAGGCCACGGTTAGCACCTTCTCTTTAGAGAGTTCTGCAAAATAAGAACACAAATCTGGTCATTAGAATCTGCCTGTCTTCAGGCAGATTTATACCCTTGTGAAGATTAGCAGTGGAATTTAAGGATCTCTGGGAATAAACACCGTTTTCCCTACCAGTGCCTATGATATGGGGATGTATATACCCAGTATAGTGTAGAGCAAGGGATTGCTCTGCAGTTGGTTTGTTGGGGGTGAATCTGCTCCAGTGCCCATGGGTGGTGGTCTGGGCACCTACACCTGAACTTCCTCTCTTCCACCCTGTAATCTCCAGTACAGACAGTTTCATTCCCCATACAGATCTTCAGTGAGGGGGAACCAAGCCCTTGCAACTGGACTGATTCAGGGAGGCTGCAGATGGGAGAAGAAACAGAAGTTGCTCTTCTAGCTGTTTCCTGAAAGTGATTTTTTAGCAGTGACCATGCATCTATTGTTCCTGTACCCTTAGGACAGGAGCTTACTGCTCTTTGACGACAGCATTTGAGGCATGTGCTACAGTTTTTATGTCCTTAGCATTGGCTGTTTCATTTTTCTTTACAGATTACTATTGATCAAATTTTATTAAGATTCTCTAAAATGAAAAGTTGTATTGCAAATTAATCTGAAAATAGTATGGGCAGTGTTATTTGCTCTGGACACTTACCAACTTACAGGGCTGTCCTATAATTCAAATACAGAGAACTACTTCCTCCTCCTCCTCCTCCTCTTCTTCTTTCTTCATTAAATTCTCCTCCTTTGTATGAACTTCTAAGGACAGACTCAGGTACCAGTAAGAGGGTGCTGTGGTCTGAATGTTTGTGTTTCTCCCAAAACTCATGTGTTGAAACCTAATCCCCAAGGTAGGATATTAAGGGCTGAGGATCTAATCCTGCTGGAAGGTAGTTGTCTCATGAGGGCAGAGTCCTCATCGGTGAAATTAGTGTGCTTATAAAACACCCCGGAGAACCCATTTTTCTCTTAAGCTGTGTGACAATGCATAGAAAAACTGCTGCCTAGGCTGAGTGGGCTTGTGCAACATAAACAATCTGTTGGGGACTTGACCATCAACTTTCTGGCCTACAGACCCGTCAAAAATAAACTTCTGTTGTTTATAAGGTGCCAGTCTATGGTATCTTATCATGAGTGTAAATGAACTAAGACAAGGCCTTTCTGGCCTAGACTGTTCAGGATTCACCTGGGAAGTCTTTTGTGCCTTTCTGTCATGTTAACAGCTATTCTTTGAAGAATCTTGCCTCGTTTGCTTTCTTTGAAATAATGGATTTAGCTAATATTTATTGACCTCTCCCCAGAGACCCTGATATTCTAAGGCACATTGATTATGGATTCTGCCAAAACCCCCAAAGCCGAACATTGCTGCATCTCCCACCCCAATTCAGTCAGCCTTGGTCCTCGGGATGTAAAATGGTTAATTATTTTATGTCAACTTGACCGAAGTAAGAAACAGCTAATGGTTCAGTGAAGCATAGCTCTGGGTGTGTCTGTGGGATGGTTACAAAGATGCTTAGAACATAGTTCAGCAAACTGAGAGGGGAAGACTTATTTTGATTGTGGGTGGCACTGACTGATAGGTTTGTAACCTGGATGGAATAAAAGATGGAAAAAAGAAGGAAGTGTATCCAGTTTTTAGGAGCACCAGTCGGCTTGAGTGTGTCTTCTGCTGTTGTCAACTTTGCACAGAGGTCTCCATTTCGCAGACTTCTAGTGCAGATTAATACCAGTGACTCTTCAGGCAGCTTCCGGGCCTTTAACCTGGTACTGCTTCCTTGATTCCTCTTGCTCTGCCACTTCCCTCTTCTTGGACTGAGAAGCTACTGGATCCTCTGTATCTCCAGTGTGCAGAAGGCCACTATAGACTCTCTTGCTTCTGATTGTCTAAACCCACCTCATAAATCCCCTCGCATAATTACATAGGTGTTTTCTGTCTACTCTGTTCCTCTAGAGAATCCCAAGCAAGACAAGGTACATTGGGTACTCCTGGGAAAAAGCCCACCTCGGCAGCCCCTTCCTTTCAGTTTTGTAAAAAGGCTACAGGAGCACAGGCAGAGTAATATTTGACAAGGTATCTGGCCACATCATGGCTCACTCAAGTTGATACATAAAAGTAACCATTGCACTCCTAAATCCCAATGTTTGAAATGTACTGGTTATGCAGAAATTTATAAAAATCTTCACACTACAAAAATGCTGGTCAAACTTTATGCAGGTGTGTCTCTGAGACTTTTGATAAAATCGACCTCTGAATTAAAAGACTGAGAATTAAAAGATAACCTTTTCTAATGTTAGTGGGCCTTGCCCAATTAGTTGAAGGTCTGAGTAGAAGAAAAAGTCTGGGGCCAGGGATTTAACTCAGTGGTGCTGCCTACTGCCTCACAAGGCCAAGGATCCAAGTTCAATCTCTGGTACCAAAAATTGGAAAAAAAAAAAAAAAAAAAAAAAAAAACGAAGAAGAAAAATTCTGCCTTTCCTGAACCACTGTTGAGCTGGGACATTGAATTTTCCTTACCTTCAACTCTTCCTTAATCCTGAGCCATCCAGTGTGGACCTGCACTACTGCACTGGCTCTTCGGGCTCTCAATTTATTGGAGATAGATGAACTTCACCACTCACCACTGGTTCTGCTTGTTCTCTGGCTTTCTGACTATAGATCTTGGGATTTATCAGACCCCCTAACCGTAAGAGCTAACTCCTTATACTAGATCGCTTTCTCTCTCTGCACATATACTATGATTCTGTTTCTCTAAAGAACCACGACTAATACATGGCTCTTTGTGAGACCACGCCTTAAAGAACAAAATTCTTTGAAGTCGTTTCCAAGGAAATGTAAAGAATATTCATTTTAAAAAGATTGCAAGTGAGAAAAGTTATATTCTTTTTCCTAGAAAGAATTTAGTTTTGCAGAATCAAGAGCTGTAAAGTCCTTGAAGCAAAAATGGGTAATGTCTCCTTTATTCCATTTAGAAAAATTTACAAGCATGAAAAAGATTACACTACTGGTTCAAGGCTTACCCACTCACTCATACTGTTTATTTTAATTCTCAGAATAACTCTCCAGGGAAAGGATTAATAGTATAATTGTTTTATTTTTCAGATGAGGAAACTGAGGCCTTAGAGAAATTATGTAACTTCCCCAAATGAGGTCTACATTTAGTATCTGATGAGGTCAGGATTTCTCCTCAGGCAGGCTGATCCCAAACCCACAGGCTGGACTCCTTGGCCTGTTCCTATGTGTTCGTCTCACTGTGCAGGAGTAGACTGCCCTTAAGCCTTGGAACCACTTTTGGGTGACACGTTTTTCTTAGCTCCTTCCTAACTGTGTGACTTGGAGAGAGTTGTATAATTTCACCTGTTGCTTTTCCAGGCACCCACTGCCTCCTGACCACGTGAGCCTTCTTTTTTGCACTTGCCTTTTGCTTCTGTTTTAGGCCTTTTCAGTATCTTTTCATTCTGCTTGAAAAGCCTTTCTTTGTTGTGTTTTCGTGCTGTTCCCTTAATGTTTCACCCAAATATTATCTGGCCTTGACGATCCCAGCTGAGGTGGCTGTCCCTCTAACAGTTCATTCTAACAAATCACACTCCTTGATCCCCTTCACAGTGCTTCTCGGTACCTCCCATCATTTCATTTATTTATTTTAAATTTTTACCTATCAGTATATCTGCTCTTTGCAGTAAAGAACTATGTCTTTCATATTTACTCATTTCCTTTGCTACAGAACAGTGGCTGATCCGTAGTAGATATTCCGTAAACATGTACAAACACCCTGACTACAGTTTATTTTTGTGTATGATGTTGAGTTGATTTTATTAATTTCCAGCATCATCATTAGCAATTGAGAGATAAGCACACCCAGCTCAGAGCATGATGCTCAACAAGTGGCAGCCTCTCTGGTGGTCACTGGCTTCCTTTCTGTTCACTACCTACAGGTTTTATGGCTTATATCTAGATGTCTCCCCAGAGCCTCATGAACTCATAAAGGGGACTTGAGGGTTGATTGAATCGGGTGTGTGATAATGGATCATGTGTGTGTAACACTGGAATAGTCTGCTGTTTGGATTAGCATAGTTCTAGGAGTGGGTGGATGATGGACTCACTGAAGAGGGCAGACCCATGCTGGGTGTGGGTGGCACCAACCAATGGGGTTGCAGACTGAATGGAATACAAAGGGAAAGAAGGAGGAAGTCTGGCTCTTCTCACTGCCATGGCATGAGCAGGTCTGCTCTGCCATGCCCTCTGCCATGGCTCCTGACTTGGAGCCAGCTGACTTCTGCAAACTGTGAATTAAAGTAAACCTTTCTTCCTTCCACTTGTGGGTGTTGAGTGTATTGTTTCAGTAATGAGAAAGTAACAGAGACAGAAGGCATGAAAAAAATGTTTACAAAATGCAACCTTAATAGCAAAATGGCCCTTAAACACTGCTGCGCTTGTCTTCGGCCCTCAGGCAAATAAACTACATTTTTCTCCTTAAGGGTTATGCAACATCAGCGCAAAATCAACTTTGTCATTTAGACCCATCTGTCACTTCTCCCTCCACCCCTCCTGAGTCTCCCTCCCTGGGAGGACATAGGTGTTATCATCTTCACTGTAGTTCTGTCTGCCATGATGACTGATCTTTGGCTAACTAATCAGATTGGACAGCGCCACTACTGCTGTCCCACTCTGCCTTTGATGGAAGGTGTGGCTGCTGTGTAAATCAGTAAATCATTGCAGGGTGACACAGGCTGTGCCGCTTGGACACAATTTCAGGAGGTTGCTGTTTCTGCAAAGCTCTATGCTGCACCCTGCAGCTCTCTTTTCCAGGGGAGGTGGCAGCATTTTCATCTGCCCTGGCATGAAGGCCGGACTAGATTTGTGCTTTAATGCCTGGTTCCTTTGCATCCTCATAATTCAGAGCCCAGAAGAGAACATAGGTCAGGAAGCCAGGGCTTTGTGGGGTCTCGGTTTGGCCTTATTGTGACTAATTATACTAATAAAAGGATTGAAAAAAGGTTTTGAACATAAGTTGTTGGTTAAAACAGCGATGATTTGTAAGAGTCTCCCCCTATTCTCCCCAGTTTATGCCATAATGAGGAACCTGTGGGGTCAGGGTCATTCGTATGCTCACCGGTAGCACTGTAGATAGAACCCAGCAACCTCTTGTAATAATGATGCTGATGATAAGCATTAACAGCAATGGAACCTTCAGGTGCACTGTGCTATTAATCACTTTACATGCGGAGGTATTTAATCTTCTAGACTGATGAACTAAGGAAACAGATCAAAGACCTGTTTGGTGTGAAAGTGTGTAGACTGTAGGCACAGGATCCTGATTTTAAAATTCAGAAATGGCAGAAGATAGTATTTATCCAGGACCTACCCAAGGCTCAGCCTTTTCTAGAAAGTATTTCTTCCACTGACCTTTTAACTGAGGATGTCTGGCACCTAAATGTTCACAGGTGCAAAGTGCCAGTTACACACACTTGCTAAGTGGCAGAGGCAAGATTTAAATTAAGTTTGTTGGACTCCCAACTCCAGTTGTGGATAGACCTGGTCTGGTTTATAGCCATAGGCTATGAAGTCCACCATCAAGACTTTCTCTGCTGAGCCTCAGAGTTTTTATCTATTACTAATAAGTCAACAAACCAATTTCCACATGCCTAAGTAAAAGTAAAACAAGAAAACCTTCTGCAAGCCCCATGAAGCCAAAAAGATCAAACTACTCAGAGCTTTCATTTTGTCATTATCTCAGCTTCCTAACGTGTCATCTTCATAGTCCACTGAATTAGTAAAAGAAGCAAATCTTCATTGACACGGATGGAGCACACTGCTTATTATATAAACTGCTCTGCACAGACCCACTTGAGAGCTGTAGATACACAAATTCCTACTTTTCACCATTCTAACCCATAATTGTAGCCCAGCATCCACTCAACTCAAAGCCCTGTAACTCTTTTCAGGAGTAGGAGAAGAAAAGGTTTTTTTTTTTTTTTCTTCTCCTATTTGCTGGCTGATTTATTGTTGCATGACAATATCGGGTCTATTAAATTTTAATATTGGTGCTGTCTTTTCACCATAAGTCTTGTGCTGAGGAGCTCAGAAATTATTTCACCTTAAAGGGGACTTTTATTGCAGTGTATAGGCAGGTGTGTAATTCTGCCCTGTAAGAAATCTGTAGATTTTTTTCTTTTCAAGATGTGAGAACTTTAGATTTGCACTTACAGTGTCATTTGGGTGCAGGTCAGTGGGATGTGCTGTTTCCATTGGCATCAATAATGTTCTGTTTGTTTCTGCATCATTTTCTAATACATGCTGTTGATAGTGCCTTGCAGTTCACTATGCAGGGAATCCAGCTTTTTCCTGTAAATGTCAGGGAGATAGGATGGGAAAACAGCTTTGAATTTCAGCCGGTGGTTCCAGTGGGTCCCCAGTTGCATTGGAAGGAGATCACCCAGGTATGACAGGGTACTGCTACAAAGACTGTGCCTTGGAAACACTAAGACTCTTGGGGAACATGGGAGCCTTCTGATCCTTGTGATGCAATAATGCCCGTGGTACTGTATACTTTACCCAAGACAAAGTGTCTCTTCTCTTGTGGCAGCTTCACACCCACACATTCCCTTGATTTGTCCCTACTCCGACCTTGTGTCATCAAATACTTGTGAGAAAATCGTGTGGAAATTCTCGTGTAGCACGACTTTCTGGAGAATTCTGTAAAACATATGTGACAGAAATTACTGTGGATCCAAAATCCATTTTATTTTTCTTCCTTACTTAAAAAAAGCTGACTTTGTCTGGAGTGGCAATATTCTTACCCAAGAGTCAGATTTTCCTGGTATCTTTATAACACGATGATAACATTATAACATTATTTCATTTTAACAGTAGCCATCCTGGCTAAAGCAATGGAAGCAGAAGTTATCGGACAGATCTTCTGAAAACAGAAATAGGCAGTAGCCAATGTGAGCCCCTTTAACTTTACTTCATGCTGGACTATGAACAGATGGCTGGTACTCGGCAGCCATAATAAACAAGGAGGCAACCTTTAGGTACTGTAGAAAGGATGGCAGAAGAGAGTGGTAAAAGATACCTTGGTGCCTGACGAGTTAGTGAAGACACTCTAGAATTTATGCATCATTTGCTTTTGGACTCTTTTTTGGGGGGATGAATTTATTGGTACATTTAATGTATACAATATAACAACATTTCATTGTTGGAAATTTGTACCTTAACACATTCAATCTTGGTTCTTATTTTTTCCCCATTCGCCTGCCCTCCCTTCAATCCCTCCCTTCCTCCCTAGCTACAAAGACTTTGTATCCATTATTTTTTAAATTGAGTTTATTGGTACATTTTAGGTATACAGTACAGTTACATTCATTATTGGGATTCCATTATTTTTCATTTTCTCATATTGATTTCGTTCCCTTCTTTCTTTTCCCTACCCCTATTTCCCTTTCCTCTTTGTCCCTTTTTCTTCCTATTTCATACTATCTATTGTACCTTTCAGTTATTATTTATTAAATGAGAGAATGCACTGCATATGAGTAGTCACGTCTTACTAGGAGCATTTGGGAGAAGCAGCTGCCATGTTGTAATTATGCTTAAGTAGTTTTATGAAGAGGTCCATGTGGTGAGCAAGTGAGCTTGCTTGCCAACAGCTAGCACTGACTTGCTTTCTTAGAAGTGGATTCTAGTAGCCCAGTCTCCTAGACTTGACTAGTGCTCATCTTGAAGCTTGTTTATGGTCTCATGAAAGACCACAAGGAAGATAAGTGGCTCTTGAATTCCTTTAGAACCTGCATGAAAGAGTAAATGTTTGTAATTATTTTAATCTGCTAAAGTAATATATAGAAATACAGGCTTTAATATTTATATATTTATTATATGTATTAAACTGATGAATCAAGTGAATAATGTAAAACTGTGATATTCCAAAGCCTGTAAATGAAAATACCAAGGCATCTAAGGTTTCCCCCTTGAGAAAATATCATAGTTAAATATGGCTGTAGACTTAATTGCTTTTTTAGCCCTTCTTACGACTTTAGCAGATAATAACCCTCATGAATTTCATGCTCCACTAATCAGGCATTTTCTTAACCACCATATGGGAAGTTAAAGTTAGAATAAGAAAGATACACTCATCTCCTTACTTCCCTCCTATTGTGGCTCTCTTCCCACCTCTGGAAGACCGGGTGGCTCATTGGATGTGGGATCATAGAGAACTGAAGATTCCAACTGAAGATGCTTTCCTTTCCTACTTAATGGCACGTGGTGTTTCACAGGGAAAACCAGTCTTTGGAAAAGAGCATGTCTTCTAATTTCAAGTTCAATTTAATTCGAGGGAATGAAACTGCCTTTTCAATTTAAAGCAGGGTCTGCATGGTTAGTCACCTGAGTTCCTGCAAAATGCCAAACAGTCATCACTGCTCTAGGCTCCCAGACATTTTCCTAGTCTTCATAAACACTTATTTAAGTTTCCGGAAACCTGAGTTAGCTTTAAAGTGGCCAGCATTTTTCTCATAGATCAGGATCTCGCTTTCAGTTCGTTGGCTTCTGAGGCTTCTGTAATCTTCCATCTATCACTCTCCTTGTTGACCCCTGTGTGTTGTAAAAGTTTGCCTGCACAGCTGCAGAAGATGACATGTATATATATATATATATGTCTAGTTTCCTTTTACACTGGGAGTTAAGTTTCAAGACCTGAGGATTATTGGTCATTTGATTCTGATTAACTACCTATTGTGTGCTCCATCTACATCTTGTCAAGCATGAGGCTGCAGAAAAGAACTATGCAGGCTCCACAGCAGCAGTAAAGCTGTGCCAAATGCAGGAGAAGGGGGCTGCAGCGCCCTTCTATAACAGCCCCATGGCATCAGGGCTGAAGACTCATATTCACTGGACAGTCTATTGTCATTCGTTTCTGACCTGTTTAGTACCCCACGAATCCAGTTCTAACAGTTGGCTGCTAAATACCAGAGCCTTCCATAAAGGAATGGCAAATTGTCCATTGAATTTACTTAAATTCCTCTGATTAATAAATGGCTACTCAAAGCTACTATTATCACTTCTATAGTGCCTTTGAATGTGTATTTCATCTTCCCCTTCTATTCGCATTTCTAAGTATGTGCTTGCAGGCTAGAGGTTGAGGTTCCTGACCTAATTCCTCTTTGGTTTGATTTACCCCTCTCTTCCTCCCTTCCTCCCTTTTCTCTTCCCCCTCCTAATCCTCCCTTTCGTCTTTCTCTCTCTGTCTCTCTCTCCATCTCCCTCTTCCCCTCCCCCTCCAGTGAATTGGGTGATATAAAGACAGAGAATGAGTCACCACTGTTTCATCTCTGTTATTCCCATTTCAAAGTTAGTGATGTACATAAATAAGGACATGGAGTGCTGGGGATGTAGCTCAGTGGTGCCACTGCCTACCTCACAAGTGCGAGGTCCTGAGTTTGATCCCCGGTACCACCAAAACAAACAAATGAACACTAAAAATAAATAAAGACACCGAATAATAGTGTCAGTCAGGTGAACACAGTTGGGTGATATTTGAGAGTTGGGATTGATGGACGAACCAGTGCTCTCTCTGCTGGAGAGAGGGAGTAGTGCAGCTGCACTTTATCTGAATTTGAAGACTTCCCCAAAGTTGGGCATTCTGTCACTTCTGATTGGAAAGGATTTTTGTGTGGTTGAGGTGGGATGAGTGCAGGATGAAGAAAAGACCTGGTAAGAGCTGTCCTGCTTTCCTAAACAGACAGGAGAAAAGGAATTATGCATGAGGCACTCTGTTACCATTAAAGGGCAACTGCTTATTTTGTTCATTTTGCAAATAGGAAGCTTATTTCCTGTTCTCATACTATGCCCAAGGTAGCAATCTCAAAGCGACATGAAGTAAACGGGAGCGCGCAATTCAGGTGCAATTTATTCCAAAACTGACTTTATAGATCTGTATCAGCTTCACTAAAGTCACTATCAAATGAGTATATGAACGTGTGTAAGCACGAACTCAAAGAAATGCACACGTGTGCATGTGGTCTTGCTCCTCTGTCTCATTTTACTTGCACCTTCCAACCATTGTCAGAGGAAGTGAGCCTCGGCATGCTGGTACATTTTGACTGAGATGAAGGTATTTGGTCTGGCATGCTTGTTGAAAACCAGATGAACGGGTCCATTGAATCAGCTGAGTTGCTTTGGGATCCGTCTGACTGCCTCCATGGGGGTTGTAACAACAGAAACAGAACTGCCACTTAGTAAGTGAGGACAGTGAGCCATGCTCAGGTGAGGGTGGTTTTCGTTTGTCAGCTCAGTAGTCTTCTAGTCAACGCAGTGAGGGCAGTCGGTAGAGAATCCAGTAGGAGTCCGCAGGGGAGAACAAGGCAGCTGCAGCAGCTGTAGTTGGAAAGTCCTAAGGATCAAGCCACCTTTTATCTCCCTCTCTCCCCGCTATCTCTCTCACTTTCTTCACATACGTCCCTTCAGCTGTCATTTTCGACATCTAGATGTGAAGGTCTTACGAAGTCCACTGGGATACCCGTTGTTTAACTTGGGAGGGGCAGTTGCACATCGTATCTTTGTTCATAGGCTGGAGCTTTTTCTATGTAATTCTTAGAGGTGGCTCCATAGCTGCTGCCTTAAATTCGCTCTCCTTTATAGAACAAAATAATAACTAATACCTTAATAGCTTTATTCTTGTTTGGGAGTCACAGTGGGGTGTGCTGAGCTATCTACGTTTTGAGCAGTGAGATCAAGGTTAGGCATACCAGTAGCACTGTCCTAAGAACTCCAGCTAGAATATCAATCAGTTATATCCAAGTCCCAATTACTTCTAACTAGTTGCATGATTTTGGTCAAGTTTGCTTGTCTTTTTAAGTTTCAATATCTGTGTTCAGAAAAGTCCAGTTAGTATTTGTATTAATCCCACATCACAGCTTAGATTTAGATGCCTCTCCAAAGCTTTATATGCTCGCAGGTGGGACTTTGGGGGAGGTGATTGAAACATGGAGGAGTTAATAAGTAGTTAAGTTTTGCCTGCAGTTGTGGAGGTTACTGACTATAGTTGGAGGTGTATCATGTAGGAAGGAGTAAATAAGATAATTACAGAGTTTGAGAAGTGCAGTGGAGAAGATAATACTCAAAGATTTATGGAGAGTAATGGGGAGGAGATTACTTGATCTCAAGGCTTCTCCAAAGAGGTGATATTTGAACTAAATAAATGTCAGTGCCCGCCTGGCAGCTGTAAGAGCCTGGTAAACACACGCTGGTATTTGTAAGAGCTCTACTGCAGAGTTTGCAACCTGAAAGCAGTTCTAATCACCTCCTTTAGACTATTTTCTGTACCTTCCAAACAGTGGTGCATTAATAAGAGTTTTTCAGAATGTGAATAAATGAATTATAAAAGAAGTTATAACACATACATCCACATCCATAGCTGAAATACTGTGTTACAGTTATTAATGGCACAAACGGGAAAGTGAAATGCTT